AATATATTATTTAAAATCTGTTTACATAATATTTCATAATTACTATAAATTCTGTTTCTGACATGTATTATGCAAGAACATAATTGGCTCTGTGTATTGTTTACATTTGTTCGACATTGCATTAATCATATAATAGTTATTAATAGTTAGCGAGAAGGTTTTGTGACGTTTTTAAATAAAACATTCTCTGTCTGTTGTCTCGTTCAGAACAGTAATTTAGGTTATATATATCAAAAGACTAAGTATAGAGGTGCAAGTTCGCACAAACTGGACAGACATTGTTTACATAATTATCACGTGACATCAAAAATGGCGAACCTTGTAAAAATGACTAAGTACGCGATTGCGAGAGCACACTGCGGAATTTCCTGGTGAGGAAAATAATGTGAATAAAATATAATTTGTACATGGATTACTATTACTATAGTATATGGTTTTAATTGAGTGACACTGTGTGACAATGAAAAAAAGGAAACACATCTTCAGATTTTGGAATCCATGAAAAACCAAGATTTGGTAGTTTAAGTCCTAAATAATTCTCTGACATAAATATTGATAAATCTGTTACTGCTCACTCTGGTAGTACTGTAGTCTTTTTCAAGAAACTTCAAGTATCCCCTCGTTAACCTGTGGAGGTTTAGAAAATAAATAAGGTCACAATCTTTATTTGGCGTTTGTTTATACGTAATTCATTCATTTTATGATGCATCTTTTGTTACTATAATAAAGGCAACTATTATTATGTTATATATGTGTTTGAATTATGGATGAAAAAAATATTGAACACATTTACAATTAGTACATAAGTATAAACAATTGCCACCCAATCCTCTCAAACGATTATTCAAAAAATAATTAAATTTTTTTTCTTCATTTTCTTTTCATAATAATATGTCAATTTTATTTCACCAAACATTTTTCAAATTTACGTTTAAAATTTTGAAACTTGCGGATGTAATGCACACCCGCGCTTCGTGTGAAGGGAAGCCAGGTCAAAACATTGGGCATTTTACGTGTGTAGAGCAGCCCACAGAGACGTCGGCCGATCCCAACAACCATATCAGAAATTGTTGATGGTGGAAACAAATAAGAGTTTCATTTGTGCAAAAAAAAATCAAACGTGATAAAGTAAAACGCCGATGACATTCGGGCCACACGAGACACTCACGCCTTCGACCATGAACGAAAATCCAATATATGGATGCCAATGCACGTTTGAACGAAGCAGGCAATATTTCTGAGGAAATTCGCGATCTAAGTTTATCGAGCATAATAAAGAGTTCACACATACCTCTTTGAAATTATCGATAAGATATTTTATAAAGAGTAGTAAGCTCAACTAGAACAAAAAAAACTAGAACTTCTTACCGACTCGAAAGTTGTCCAGTGCCGAGGTTCAGCGATAGTTTACAAACGTGCGCCGGGGACGGTGACATCACTGCGACCAGCCACACCAGAACGGACATATCTCGCATCTAACTCAACCCCATGCAACAAATTTGATATCCAAGTGTTCATTATGGCCCGTTCTTCCTCGACGAAAAAGTACATAAGTGACAATTTAGTCAAATACGAGAAAACTGCACAAGAAATTTGCCTTATTTACACGTATCGGCAATGCGAGCTGCCCAGCAACTTCCCTTTCTGACGTCACAAGGGGAATTTCTGTATGGCAATGAATAGCTAATGAGGAGCCTCGTTTTAAAATACAAAAAATAAAGTTGCTGTAGACTGAGTTTAAAACACATTTTTTCACTTAAAAAAAATAATTTATGCTTAGAAACATAAAAATTAATAATATTTATGTATCAATTGATAATTTTAGACGTGAAAATAGCAGCCATTTCACAGGCACTTTAAATTACACTTCCTGTTTCTATGCATTTGTTATACTGTTAAAAAAAATTGTAAATACTACGTTTGATATTGTACATTTACAAAGCTTATTTTGTAAAATTTATATCATATTTAAGATGTTATTTTACATGTAAATGGTTCTATATTATCTTTGTATATTATCTTTCAAAGGCTGCATCAGTTTTTAATCTAATAATTATACATGCAACTTCACCAATGGAGAATTTTCCATTCATTGCATTATACGCGAAATCAAACTTAGAAACAGGACAAACAAAGGTCATCATGTAAGATTCAGTTTGACGATGGTAAAGTAAGGATATCTCAACACCATATTAACCTCTGAAAGATCACTTTCTGAGCATTAAACAAATTCTAGTGCAAAATCAAATGATTTGTTTATCGTGACACAATGTTTGGTCTATGCCATTAATGCATTACATAAGATCTCGTAGTTGGCGGGAAAACCACTCATTTGACAAACATACCTCACATTGATTATTGTGATTACATTGAGAAAATCAGTTGGTATGGCAACAAATCCTGAAATATTGGAGCACTAAAGCTATATGATACCCTTGACAGAAACACTGTTGTGGTGCCTGTTGGATAATATTTCTCGTGTACTGTACAAAACTAAAAAAAAATCCTTATGATTACAGGGGGTCAGTTGATACAATTTCTGTACAAGCAGGTAAACATGTAATATAGAATGTTTCTTAGTAATTCAAACTTCCTTCATCATAATATACTGTGAACAAATGGTTGTAATGTTTTCACCTGGTAAACAATATAAAAATCATGGATTGATATTCTTTTTGGCTCTGGACAAAAATTATTTACTTATTAGTATGTTGATGTAAATATAATCTGTACATAATAAATACACAACAAATATCACGTATTATATTTATTCATAGATAAAATTTGCTTTCATCTAGTATCAAGATTACTTATATTCAAGGTATTACACTAATGGTTTGTAGAATGCAAGGAAAATATTTCAGTCAGATTATGTACATTTTAAATAAATTTATAGACAACAATACACTACTACAAATATTACTGTTCATTTACAATACATTGTGTTTTTCATTAAATAACCAGCTGGATCTGGTGTTCATTTGACAATTTATTGTACCCGGTATGTTATTTCATTTGTATTTTTAAAGTTTTAAAGAATTAATGGCTGTTCCTTTTTACTGTGGCAGGAGTGAAGCTACTAGCCGTCTATATAATTGTAGTATGAACCAAAAAAATATTAAAATTTACAATTCATTGAGTTGTTAGAATTGTCAGTTCCATGAAAATTGATATTATGACTAACCAAGACATTTTTAAAATTAGCTACAAATTAATTACAAATCTGAATAAATGGGCTAAGAAAGCTGCAGATGCTGATCTATACTCACAACATTGCGTATAATGTTTGGCAAAAGTGTCAATAAATTATGTAACAATGTGCAGACTTATCGTCATGCATGGAGGTTGACATTGGCACAGACTCCCATAATGCATCACACTTCACGTTTGACCAACTTGAAAGACAGAATAATGACACCAGTTCGTATAACGTCACCATACAGATCTACATACAACTAAAATGATTGTACAGTTGATTAAACCTTCAATACAATCAAAATTACTACTGACAATGATTGGATTCCTATAAAATCACCTTGTTTTCTGGTATAGATAAAAATATATCAGAACACAAAGCATACATCTGTGATTTTGTTTTATGTATTGGCTAAAAATAATCTTATGGCTGCTAAAATATGCAAAGTTGTAACGTTATGCCTGAAAGGACGACTCAATGATTCAAAATTATCAACCCTTAGTTACCAAAATTACATGTAACATATTTTGTGAATTTCAACATTTCTGGTCATAAAACCATACTGTGAATGTACAAATTTGTTTATATGAAATATTTTCAAAATTGTAAATTGAAAACAGCTTGACCAATTGTCCAAAATAAATGTTTTAATATTTTTTTTTTAAATTGCCAAAAAATAAATTCACATCTATTAATATAAATTGACAGTTTTACACATACTACATCTGTACAAATAGACAACTAGGTTATATATAATACATAATATGGTCATATGACACATGCATTGACATCAGCCATTTACAAATTGTAATAAAATTGTAGATTTATATAGGAATACAAGGTTACTTATTCAGAACTATTGATAATTAAACTTATTTAAACTATTGTGCAAATATTTTAATACAATGATTCCCTTTATCAGCCACTACAACTTTACCAAATGGTTTATCATTTGTGACACAGATACCATGGGGAAACCACAACCCATCAGCAGGACTATCAATACGACATACAAATTGACCATGGGAGTCATACTTCAGGACCCTTTTATTACCATTTTCACTCACATACACATATCCATCTGTATCAGTAGCTACACCTAAAGGATACTGTAGTTGACCATCAGAATTTCCACGACTTCCAAACTTGAATAGAAATTCTCCTTCACCAGTCAGTACTTGTATGCGGTGGTTCCAGCTATCTGCCACAATGAGATTACCTTTACTATCAGTAGTAATTCCCCAAGGATAATGAAACTGACAGTCCCCATCACCCTGTGATCCGAATGAATTTATATATCCCCCATCTTGGTTGTAGATTCTTATACAATGGGAACTCATGTCAACAACATACACCCTTCCATTCACAGGGCTAATGCTAATACCCCTAGGTGATGTCAGTTTCCCACTGCCAAAACATCTAATTAGTTCAAAATTGTTATTACATACAACTACTTGTTTGTTATCATCGTCTGTTATGAAATAATTACCATCCTGTGACTCTGCTGCACAGTGTGGACAGAATGGTTTATTAAAACCAGTGAATTGAATCATTCGTTTATGTTTTCCATCCAAAGTCAGTAATTGAAGTAGTTTATTTCCACTTTCACAAACTAATACATTCCCCTCACTGGTTATCAGGACACTCTCAGAATAGTTAAACTGACTGAATCTTGACCCACCATAATTACCCACCAACCCCTTCTTAGGAATTACATTAATCTTAACAGGTGAACCCTGCACTGATTTGTTATTCACTAAAACTGTCAATTCATGCACCCCTTCTACCTTAGCCTGATATGTCAGGCTACAAGTCCCGTCTTTATTGTCAGTCACTTTCATTTCTTCTGTCGTGTTGAATGGAGTCTTCATTTCAGACTGGATTTTCTGTTTTAGTGCCATACAATTCACCCCAGTACCACCAGTTGTTGCCATGGTTATGGATACATCATCACCAATCCTATAATATTTGGATACATCTTTTATCTCAAAAATGTATTTGTTGTGAAGTATCTCTCCCAGAGTTTTTGTCTCACAGAAGTCATCATAGCTTTGAAACTCCATGTAGTCGTCTTCAGCTGGATGTTGTTTGGTTTTTAGTTTCAG